CAGCATGCGGTCGACCGTGTTTCCAATTGGGCCACCACACATGGGTTTAAATTTTCCAGCACTAAAACCCACCAAATTACTTTCACTAGACGCTCTGTCATCTCCGATCATCCTTTGTACCTCTATGGCTCCCGTATCCCTGAACGTGATGCAGTCAAGTTCCTGGGCCTCCTCTTTGACCATAGGTTATCCTGGAAATCTCACATTACCTCTCTGAAGGCAACTTGTCACAGCCGGCTGAACCTTCTTAAAACCCTTGCTCATCTTTCATGGGGAGCTGATCGTCGAACCCTCCTTCGCCTACATTCCACCCTCATTTTATCGGAACTTGATTATGGTGACCAGATCTATTCAACGGCATCTGCTACTCTCTCGAGCCTTAACCCCATTCATCACCTTGGTGCTTTTCGCTCTTCCCCTGTTGAGAGCCTCTATGCAGAAGCGAACGTTCCATCCTTATCCGATCGCCGTGATGCCCATTGCCTTCACTACTATGTACGCTCTCATGATCTCCGCAATCCTTCATTTATAGAATGATCACTGATATTAGTAGACATTCTTTATTTGTTCGCTGCCCCTGTTTACTCCGTCCCTTCTCTCTTCGCCTTCATTCGCTCTTGTCTTCTCTTCAATTACCACCTTTCTATGTTCATGTAGCATCTCACTTTCCCTACCCCCCTGGGAAGTTCCAGCTGTTCAAGTCTGTTCTTTCTCTCTCCCTTGCTCGAAAGCCCAACTGTCTATGGTCGCTTCCCGCTCTCTTTTTCTTGACCACTTCCACTCTCATTCTCATGCCATTGCTGTGTACACAGATGGCTCCAAGTCTTCTGACGGCGTAGGATTCGCAGCAGTGTTTCCGGACAGCATCGTACAAGGGCATTTACTATCTTCGGCTAGTATTTTTACTGCTGAATTCTATGCCATCCTTGCAGCACTTATCCGTATTGCATCTATGCCTGTGTCATCATTTGTGGTTGTCTCAGACTCCCTTAGTGCTTTACAGGCTATACAGAAATTTGATACACCTCACCCCTTAGTCCTCCATATCCAACTTTGGCTACGCCGCATCTTTACCAAGCATAAAGATATTGTTTTATGTTGGGTCCCTGGTCATGTTGACATACAGGGCAATGAACAGGCAGACACTGCTGCGCGGTCAGCAGTACATGACCTACCAGTTTCATATAGAGGTATTCCATTTACAGACTATTTTGCTGCAATATCTTCCCACCTTCACACCCGTTGGCAACAACGTTGGTCTACTATGCTCGGTAACAAACTTCAATCTATTAAACCGAGTATATGTTACTGGCCGTCTTCTTATCACCAGTGTCGAGGTTGGGAGACTACTCTCTCCCGTCTTCACATTGGCCATAATCGTCTTACTCATGGATATCTCATGGAGAGGCGCCCTGCTCCTCTCTGTGAGAATTGCCAAGCTCCATTATCAGTCAACCACATTCTGTTGGACTGCCCACTTTATCAACAAGCACTCAGAATTTACCTCCATCGTCGTCTTCGCTCCGCTTCTCTCTCTTTACCTTCCCTTCTCGCTGATGGACCCACCTTTCATCTGGACTCTCTCATTGACTTTTTGACAACAACTGACTGACTTCACAAATCCTGATACCTTCAGCCCTTTCTACCTCAATCTCTTGCTACCCTCTACCCTCGTACTATCCCCTGCCCCGCTGTTTTCTGTAATCTACTGATCATCCCTCCTCCCTTCTGCCGCCCAATACCCTCGCTTCCTTCCCTACCCTGCAGCGCTGCATAGCCCTTGTGGCTTAGCGCTTCTTTTTGATTATAATAATAATACACATATGCTGCTGTGTGTGATAATCTATAGAGAGAAAATAACTTTTTTGTTTCAGGTTTATGGTGGAGTACAAGTGTATATCACAGTTAGCCCTGTGCTATACTCTGTTTTCTCTAATATAAGCCCCCAAGACAGGGATAGGAGAATGGTATTTGTATACCATATCCTCTTCATACCTGCGTCAAACTGCTCGGTGTTATGCCAAATATTATTCATTCTGGAGTATTTAACATGTTTTATGTTATTTATATTGTTTCTTATGTCATATTAGATCAATTGTGATAGGCAAATAAGCTGTAGTGTTGATATTAGCGTAATAATAAAGCATATTCTCCTGCTTCATGAGACTGAGTTCATGGCAACTGACAGTGGCTTCACAGCCACCTTGTCTTTAATGGTTAATGTACTGTGTAGGTGCTTTACATAATGAGAAGCATTTCTTTTATTCATTGGAACCATGGTTAGGGCTAGAAGTAAGCAGGTTAAAACAATAAATGGAGAAAAAGAAATTGGAATGACTTATGCAGCAAGTAGCGCCACCAAACAGTACCAGCAGGTTGGTGTGGCGACCCTGGAAATTTGAAATTATGCTAGCCAAAATTAGTGCCGAATAACTGAAGGAACCAAATAACTGATTGCCAGATTTGTGATGGTGGACCTGTATTTCTATTTTTCTCAGGAATAAGTTATTCTCATTTTGATACGTCTTTTGCATTTACTAGTTGACAGAATGTCATGATTTTTGCACACATTATTGAGGAATGATAGTTTTACACCGTAGCAACAGGCATTTACAATAGTCTTTACCGTTATTTTTTTTTATTGATTTCCCCCCCCCCCCCCCAAATCATTAAAAATTATAAAAAAAATCATTTTTAAAAAGACAAGATATTGACACACTGGTAAAACCCTGTTGATACACAACTATTGTGCCTTTTATCTTTTATGTGAGGTCAACTAGAACATTGTCTGTCAGCCCAGTTTTGCATAAGGAGTATCAAAGTGACACCCCATAAAACAGCCATTAATTATTTTTTTCTCTTTATTATTAAGGCAGTCTTCATAATAACTATAGTATGCAAGTTTCAAAAGCTGTTTAAATCACAGTAAAAATTTCATTGAAATTGGCTACGTAATTAAAAAATAATCTGTTTCTGCCTCTCTTCATTATTAGTCGAAAAAAGAGGTGATACTAAAAAATATACTTCTTCACAAAAACAACGAAAGACTGCTTAACTCTGACTGTAGAAGCATAAGCATGTGCTGACCAACTTGAAATTTAGATAGTAATGACATACTAAAAAATTATTGAACATCTGTTGAATAAAAAATAAAATTAAGTATATTATTGAAGTTCTAAATGAGTTTTCTCCTGATATTGTATGTCAAACAGAAACCAGGAACATAGTTGTTGGAGTCTTCTATAACAATGGTTGTAGCTGCTCTTCCCAGGTCATTTTAGATTTATTGTACTATCACATTTCAAGGTAAACAGCTTCCTAGGGTGGCAAAGTCAGTCATTCTTTATTTCTGTCAAATGTTCATATGCCATTTGGTCAGCCTGTTGTGTTAGTCAAGGTAATGGAAGTGGCAGCAAATTGTCATCAGCAGATAGAAACTGATGGTTGTGTATTGGCCTGGCACCAATGATGTAGATTCCCTACATGTTGATGAATTTGGTTTTCTTATTGAATCCTTTACTAAGAAGAGTGGTAATCTTGCGTGTGGTGACTTAACTACTGGATTGATTGTGCTCGGCAGAATCCCTATTCATGAAAATTCTTGGAACTAGTAGATTTGAATAATTTTGAGAATTTATTACCTACCTACATTGGCAGTCATATATTGGACTTGGTTCTGTCTGCTTCTATTTCTTGGAGAATTGAAGATATTAAGGTAATACTTCTCTATATTACTGTGTCTGAGCAAAGTGTCGTTACTTGTCTTGATATCTCGATGCTACCTTCTTGTTTGCACCTACTTCTTTTCATCATCATAGGAACCTTGATCTAGACCATATTGGTGTGATGGTGAGAGATGGCTGAATGCAGTTTAACTGTCTGTTGACCGGTCAAGATGCATTAAATTCTGTCCTCTGATCACTGAAAAAAGGGTCTTGATTCGTTACTTTGCCCCCTTGGTATGATAACCTCTGTTGCCCAGCTATGTAGGTGTCGTAGGCATGTGGAACATCAGTGACATAGCTTGCGTACTTTGGATGATGGTTTGATTGTGAAGAAACCCATAAAGAAATTGCAAACAGGGTGTCAACTCATAGGTGGATATCAGCGGCTCCTGTTTATCCATTTAAATGGCCTGCTTGTTCATGTATCTGAACCTGCTTTTCCTACTTTTGATTCTCTTTTTCAACTGACCTTGGCCTTCTCTAATTATTTGGGTCAGAAAATAGAGAATAGTCATTTGGAATTGGATTCAACGCAAACAGTTCCGGAGTTCTCTGTGATTGATCCAGCTCATGATGTATCAGAGATTACCTTTTCTTAATTTCTTCTGGTTAGCCAGGATGGGGTTCTGGTGTATCTCATCATATGAAAGTTTTGTTCCTTTTATAACTATTCATTAGTTGTTTTCAAAGCAGATGTTTTCCACAGTTTTAGAAGAGGGGCTTTGGTTCTCCCACTCCTCAAGAAGCCTTCCCTTTATTCTGAAAACATCTTAAACTATATTCTTGTTTCTTGTCTTCTGTTCATTTCTAAATGGATTGAATGTGTTATTTTTTATTGTTTCCATTTCTGGAAAGAAACATTGTTTTACTGTGTGATCAGTCTGTGTATAGACCACTTGATTCAATTGCTTTGCAAACCATGCTGATTTCACATGGTAGCAGTAAATTGTATACTGTATTTGGAAGTCCTGGTAGAAATATAACATCACATAAATGAATCCACATAAAACAAAGGAAACCTTCATTAAATTTTACCATGAGCAGTTTATTTAGTATTCTGTCCCACTTGTTCACATTTCCTATGTCTGTATGTATTTCCTGGCACTACTTAATGCTTCTCTACAATTGTAACTGCAGAGCTATATGATCCATATGGGTTTAGTGCTTGTTTTTAAATATAGTATATAATAATACAGTAATTTGCCTTTTTGCTAGTCTTTCTCTTGCTTGAAATTTGAGAATTCATTGTAAGAATATATAAAAATTATTTTTTAGGTCCCGAAAAAAGAAACCACCTTCAAGATCTAAAGGGAAGAAAGGCAGCAAGAGCAAAAGTGGCAAAAAACAAACAAAATCTAAACAAAAATCCAAAAAAGGCAGTGGGGAGGATGAAGAAAAGGAGAAGAAACCTTCAAAACCAAGAGTCAGTAATATTACCATTGTCTTGGACCACTGTCTAAATTATAGCCTATCTTCCTCTCCTGTAACAATCCATATTTTAATTAATAGTTAATTGCACTAAAGACTAGAAATTATTATAAATTATTTATATCTATAAAATTTTATCTAAAATGCTTAGTTTATCAGTGATCACTGGTAGCTGATAATTTATATTTTTTCTTGGTGTAATATGAAGTCATTGTAAAATAGGGTTTCTTTCATTTGCTTTTAAGGTCATTCTTGATAAAAATATATGAATTCATTTGCAGATTCATATCATGGTGTTGAAAGTTATCTCAACAATAATAGGAATGTATGTGTATAAATATGCTTAGATTAAAGCGTCATAAACTCAGATCGATGCAAAGTGAGAAACCACATGAACAAACATATGAAATACAGGTTATAGAGATCTGTATGTTTTGAACTCAGAGACTGTCATTTGCTGATGAGGCTCTGGCTGAGATTCCTCATTTGCTGTTGAGAGAGTGGCGGAGATCCCTTGGCTGCTGATGAGGGTCTGGCCGAGATTCTTCATCCTCTGATGAGGGTCTGACTGAGATCAATCATATAGATTTCATTTACCCATGTTTTATATTCTGCCAGTGTATTTATATTTTGTGCATAAGTTTCTTTGCAACTGATTGTGAAAAATTAAAATGTTCATTTCAGATTAAATACTCAAAACCTCCTAAACCCAAAGGTGAAGAACAAGAAGAAGAAGTCACTCAGCGTAGAGTTACCCGAGGTAGACAGGTCAACTATTATGATGCTCTTCTTATGTCAGATGAAACAGAGGAAGAAGAGGTAAGCAATGGGAATTCATAAAACCTTGGTATTGTTTGGCCTGCATGATATTTCATATGTATTTGTCATACTTGGCATCTGCTTACACAAGATCATGGAGGAGTTCCTCTACCAGCCTGTACAAGTAGGAAAGTAGAAATAATGAACAATCAAAGGACAGAAGCAGATATAAAAAAATTATACAGAATAGGTTGAGTTGGAGAAAGTGTAGCAGGGTGCTAAATACTGTTGCTGAGTGATTGCAGTCACAGAAATATAGTAATATTTTAAAACTTGATAAAATTTTGTGAAATGTTCATATATTTTCAGCCTGCGAAGAAGTGGAGAGGGAAGGTAATGAAAGGAGAGCGTGTTCCTACAGAGAGTAGTGAATATGAAGCATCAGATGATGAGAGAATGAAACGGAGAGGAGTCAGTGGAGGCCTAGGGAGGGGAAAAGTTATGAAAGGTGAAGAGGAAGGTAAGGCAGTGATGGTATTTGTATTCAAACCAAGGCATGCTTTTAGAAGAAATGTTCAATGGAGAGTAAACTGATTTTTTCTCTCATATCATATTTAAAGAATTTGTTATTGGTGCCAACAGCTGTTAAGGAGCTTGGAAGGAGCGAGTAACTTTTCAAGGAATTCCACGTACTGGTTTCATTATTAGAAGAGAAGTAATATTGACATATTAAAAAGATAAAAATATGATGCATGAATGTTGAGAAATGCCTCATATTCCCCCCCCCCTCCCCCCACCCACCCACCCTACCTTTTCCACCAAACTGTTTATGCCACAAATAAGCCATTACAGATTTATATTTTTGGGAAATATTTATTCTTCAAAGTGTACAGTTGATATACAAATTATCTTTGTAATACTGTACAAAGAGTAATTGATAGTCCTAGTAATCACAGTGGTCACAGACTGGGCTGTGGGGGGCATTGACCCCCAAAACCCTCTCCAGGTATTTCATCACTAGCCAACAAAGAATTGGAAATCCTCCCACTTATTGTCTAAACTTCATCATCCTTTACTCTTAAACTTAATATTAATCAATTTTTAATTTGGTTATGCTACTAATAAAAAATATCATACTTTTTCCTCAGATGAAGAAAATAAACTTGGAAGAGAAAAGAAAAAGCGTGGACGGCCAAAGAAGAGTGATGAACTTACTGGCAAGCCATCTCCTCCTTCAACAATAAAAACCACTAATCCTACATCAGTATCACCACTACCGTCTGTGCCAACCACGTCAAGTGAATCGACTGTACCTGTTACACAAGTTGTAACATCTGTGCCTGTTACACCAGTTGTGACAGTTGTACCAGCTACACCAACAGTAGCAGCTGTACCGGCTACACCAACAGCAGCAGTTGTACCTGCTTCACCTGCAATAGCAGGTTTGCCTGCTTCACTAACAGTAGCTGCTGTAGCTTCTACACAGACAGTAGCAACTGTACCTGCTACACCAACACTAGCAGCTGTACCTGCTACACTAGCAGTAGCATCTGTACCTGCTTCAATAACAGTAGCGTCTCTGTCTGCTGGATTAACATTAGCGGCTTTACCTGCTGCACTAACTGCGGCTCTACCTGCTGGAATTACAGTGTCTGCTGTATCTACTACACCTGTGGCAGTTTCACCCATTGCACCTGCTGCTGGGTCACCTGTGCATAAAACTCCAGAACCTGCTGTTGGTACACCACCAACCACACCAGCACCCAGCACAACAATTAAAGGGCTAACAACTAGTATTGCAGCCACAACAAATATGGGAAATAATAGCCCGATACATCAGTCCATGGGAAAATGGTCTCCACACTTATCAGGAGTGAGTGGAACTCCAGGCACACCTCCCAGACCTGGTGTGGGTTCTGGACCTACACCTGGTGCAGGAACTCCACCACGTCCAACTCACTCTGGTCCACCTGTAACACCATCGCCCCCACCCCCCTATCGCTCTTCACCGTTACCTATTACTCCAGGTGGTCCTGGAGCACCCTTATGTAGTACAGCACCTAGCAGTATGGCACCTATTGGACCCCCAACAACTACTACAACTCATTCACCAGGTTATCCAGCATATAGGCCTCCGCCAGAGCTTTTTGCAGCGCATCCAGCTTTTCCTGGGTATGCACCTCCTGGCAGGCATTCTCCCAGTCCTCATGGAGTTCCCTCTCGTCACCCTGCTCATTTACCGCCAGGACACACACTTTCTCGTATGCCTACTAATTATGGACCTCCCCCACTTACTAGTGGACCTGGTCCAGGCCAAAGTCCATATTCCTCTAGAGGTATTCCATCACATCCAGGAGTATTGCGAGGCCCTCAACATGACTTATATAGGCCATCCCCTGGTGGCCTTCCTGGTCATGGCTCTCCCAGTCATCCCGGTCACCCTCATCTTGTTATGAAGCCTGGCTATCCTGGGTTAGAACCTTTACCTTATTCTGGTTCCCCAGGCCCAAGTCCGTTAGGTTTACATCTGGGATCCCAAGGGTCTCCAGCGCACCAGTCACCCAATGAAGACAGTAAAGATGAGACACTTCCTCTTGGTAAGGGCCCAGGAGAATTCAGTAGTGGCTTAATGTCCTACTTTTCTAGCCAACGTGATGATGATATTGAGTAATGGTGATTAAATTTTGGCTTGAAACGGCAACTCTCTTTGTGGCAGTTTCATGAAGGTCTTGTATTTACTCCCTAATATTTTTGTATTCTCATTTTACAAGGTCTCAATCAGTGATGAATATTATATATTAACATTTCTCATGGATAGTGGGTCTAAAAATCTATACAAATTTTTCGACAAAATTAGTCCTGAAAGGTCTCATCTGATCAGGATCAATGAATTTCTTTTATGGGTTGCAGCACAAATTGGGTTACTTGCTGTTAACAATTTGAGACCAGTCATTTTACCTGAAATAAATTATTAGAATTGCAGAGATATTTTAGATATGATTTTTTGTGTCTTGTATGTGTTGTAGTGCTGTATATAGAAGCTTTTTGTATTTCCTTCAAAGGATTCTGTAAAATAATGTGCAAAGTTACAAAGCTATAATAAAACTAGAAGAAATAGTTTGATTTATGTGTCCCATCAGACTCCAGGGATTTGATATAATTTTTCCGATAAAAACTGATACAGCAAGAGGATTTATCTATAGTATTTTTTTTTTTATAACTGGTAGTCTCCCACTGAAGTAAGGTGACCCAAAAATAAGAAGAAACACTTTCACCATCACTCATTCAATCACTGTTTTGCCAGATGCATGCTGGCATCATAGTTTATAAGACTCCAAACTGTAACATCCCCATCCCTCCTTCATAGTAAAGGAACTGTAGTTCCCACCTCCAGGATTGGAGTTAGGCTAATCACTTTCCCTGAATCCCTTCATAAATGCTACCTTGCTCATATACAAGCCACTTTTTTCAACTCTCTCCTAACATGCTCATACAAGCCTGTTGACGGTCCAACCCCTAGCACACAAAAGCCTCCTTTACCCCTCCCTCCAACCTTTCCTAGGATGACCCATATCCTTGATTCCCTTCCCTTCCCCAGATTTATACACCTAGTAACCTATCTTACCCCATCCCCTCTAGTTGGAAAAAAACATCTACCCCTCAGCCCTCTTGAGTAATACTTTTAGTAACTCCAGGCTATGAGATTTCTGCATAATATTCACAACAGTGTTGACACCACTATAATACATCCCCCATTTTGCCTCCATGGATAAAGTTCTTTGTCTCCACAGATGCCTCAATAAACCACTCGCCTTTTTCTCAAATTCTATGGTTTACCTCACCTTTCATAGACCTATCCTTTGATAAGTACACCCAAATATCTGAACACATTTTCTTCACCATACTCCTCCTACCAATGTTGGCTAATAATTTTCTTGCTTCTACCAATTTTTTTTTTATCTTTTATTAACACATCGGCCGATTCCCGCCAAGGCAGGGTGGGCCATAAAGAAAGAACTTTCATCATAATTCTCTTCATCACTGTCTTGCCAGAGAGGTGCTTTACACTACAGTTATAAAATTGCATCAGTAACCCTTCTCCAGAGTGCAGACACTGTACTTCCCATCTCCTGGACTCTAGTCTGGCCTGTCGGTTTCCCTGAATCCTTTCATATATGTTACTTTGCTCACACTCCAACAGCACGTCAAGTATTAAAAACCATTTGTCTCCATTCACTCTTATCAAATATGCTCACACATGTTTGCTGGAAGTCCAAGCCCCTCTCACACAAAACCTTTAACCCCTCCCTCCAACCTTTCCTCAGCCACCCCTACCCCTCCTTCCCTCCACTACAGTTTTATACACTTTCAAAGTCATTCTGTTCATTCCATTCTCTCTACATGTCCGAACCATCTCAGCAACCCCTCCTCAGCCCTCTGGATAATAGTTTTGGTAATCCTGCACCTCGTCCTAATTTCCAAACTACGAATTTTCTGCATTATATTCACACCACACATTGCCCTCAGACATGACATCTCCACTGCCTCCAACCTTCTTCTCGTTGAAACATTCATTACCCATGCTTCACACCCATATAAGAGTGTTGGTATAACTATACTCTAATACATTCCCGTCTTTGCTTCCATGGACAAAGTTCTTTGTCTCCACAGACTTCTAAGTGCACCACTCGCCCTTTTCCCCTCATCAATTCTATGATTCGCCTCATCCTTCATAGACCCATCTGCTGACACATCCACTCCTAAATATCTGAATACATTCACCTCCTCTATACACACTCCCTCCAATCTGATATCCAGTCTTTCATCACCTAATCTTTTTTTTTTTTTTTTTTTTTTTCACAGGGTTTGACAAGGTTAAGGATCCCTAGCTTTATTGACAAGCTAATTACACGTTAAGGATTCCTAACTTTATTGGCAAGCTAAGAGCTGTTACCTACATCAGCTCATTTGAAAGCATTTTTATTGTTATGAGACATACAAGTAGGGAACAGGATGAAGTTGGAGCCATCTGTGGGCCAGCATTTTCATTTGATAAACTGACTTTATCTCGTTGACATCATTATGCTGTACGAATGTGTTCCATACTCAGTCATCCTGGGTATATAGGATCTCAGATGGAGTGAAGTTCTGGAGAAGGGTACAACCAGAGTGAAGTTGCTGCTTTCTGCCCGTCTTGTGGCATAAAAGCTTGTTTCACGCTGTCCTCGAAGTTATCCTCATCACCTTACTCTTTCCTATATTCACTTTTAATTTTCTTCTTTTACATCTCCTACCAAATTCATCCACCAACTTCTGCAGCTTCTCCTCAGAATCACCGAAAAGCAGTGTCATCATCAAAGAGCAACTGTGACAACTCCCACTGTGTGTTAGATTCTTTATCTTTTAACTCCACACCTCTTGCCAAGACCCTCGCATTCACTTCTCTTACAACCCCATCTGTAAATATGTTGAACAACCATGGTGACATCACACATCTTTGTTTAAGGCCTACTTTTGCTGGGAAATAATCTCCCTCTTTCCTACATACTCTAACCTGAGCCTCACTATCCTTGCAGAAACTCTTCACTGCTTTCAGTAACCCACCTATTCCATACATATGCCACATTGCCCCCTTATCCATCCTGTCATACGCCTTTTCCAAATCCATAAATGCCACAAAAACCTCTTTACCCTTTTCTAAATACTGTTCACCTATATGTTTCATTGTAAACACTTGGTCTACACACCCCCTACCTTTCATAAAGCTTCCTTGTTCATCTGCCATCCTACTCTCTGTCTTACTCTTAATTCTTTCAGTAATGACTCGACAATACACTTTACCAGGTATACTCAACAGACTTGTTCCCCTATAATTTTTGCAATCTCTTAGGTCCCCTTTGCCTTTATACAGAGGAACTATGCATGCTCTCTGCCAATCCCTAGGTACCTTACCCTCTTCCATACATTTATTAAATAATAGCACCAACCACTCTAAAACTATATCCCCACCTGCTTTTAACATTTCTATCTTTATCTCATCAATCCCACCTACCTTACCCCCTTTCATTCTACCCACTACCTCATGAACTTCCCCCACACTCACAACTGGCTCTTCCTCACTCCTACAAGATGTTATTCCTCATTGCCCTATAAACGAAACCACAGCTTCCCTATCTTCAACATTTAACAGTTCCTCAAAATATTCCCTCCATCTTCCCGATACCTCTAACTCTCCATTTATTGACTCTCCTCTCCTATTTTTAACTGTCAAATCCATTTGTTCCCTAGGCTTCCTCAGCTGATTAATCTCACTCCAAAATTTTTTCTTATTTTCAACAAAATTTGCTGATAACATCTCGCCCACTCTCTCATTTGCTCTCTTTTTACATTGCTTCACCATTCTCTTAACCTCTCTTTTTCTCTCCATATCTCTTCCCTCTTTGCATCACTTCTAGTTTTTAAAAACCTCTCATATGCTAACTTTTTCTCCCTTGAACATCATTCCACCAATTGCTCTTCTTCCCTCCCACACCCACTTTCCTGTAACCACAAACTTCTGCTAAACACACCAACACTACATTCTCAACCCTTTCAGGGTCCCCAGGCCCTCTCCAAGACTTTTTCTCAGGGTGGCTCAAATTTCAAAAAAAAAAATTATTTTTTTCTTATGAAAAGATAGAGAATCTTTTCCCGATCATAATGACACCAAAAGTATGAAATTTTATGGAAAACTTGCGGAATTATGCTCTTCCAAAGTTACAGTCTCGACGATGTTTACGCATCGGCGATTTTGCCCACTTTCAGCCCTATTTTCGGCGAATTCCAGTATTAGTCGACAAAAGTCATAACTATTTCGCTAGAACTCCATTTTTTCTATCGAATGAGTACAAGAAACCACCCATTTACCGATTTCAACTATCCAATACAGTCGTGAGAATTTAGCAATTTTGCCAATTTCACACAAATTTCAAAAGATGCCAATTTCCAAATAGGGTCCAGAATAAACAAGAAAGACATTCCTGGCACTAAAATAACATTTCCTCTGTTCATTAGTCACGTTCCCAGGCCCCTCTTACATTCTTTTGCTTTCCACTTTGAATATTTATCCTCACAAAAAATAGAAGATTTACTGTTATGCAGACTACTGCATTAGTGTAGAAATGGTATAAATAATATCAGCGCACTTGTGAAAGAATATTAGACTCACCAGTTGACGTGTATTGGACCCTTAGCATGATTTGCTTACTTTTAAACTTTGGTAAAAATCGAACATTTCCGCTACTTTGAGCTCAATTTCAAGATACTTTTCATTGTAAAACCAGTCAAAATCATCTCAATTTCTGTAATATGTCTTCCATTCTATACAATGAGACCAGGAAAACTAGAATATAAAAATAAATACCATACGAAAATACAGTGCAAAGTCACTGTTTTAAACCTTTGTCGCAGGCCCCTTTCTGAAACTCACTTTCCCTCCTCCCTTCTGCCACCCAATACCCTCACTTCCTTCCCTACCCTGCAGCGCTGTATAGCCCTTGTGGCTTATCGCTTCTTTTTGATTATAATAATCTGAAACTCATTCTATGTCGCAAAATATTCGAAAAAAAAAAAAACTTTTGAAAATGTTAAAATTGTTTTTCTGAGTGTTTTAGTCCAAAAAAAAAAATTTTGTTGCCATCAGTACCTACCGATATATAGAGGCGTGAAGTTTGCAGGAAATGAGCCGCGTATGACAACAGGGGTGACTGCCGCTCACCCGGTAAACTTGGGTTTACTTGTGTTTGAAGGTTTGTTTTTTTTTTTTCACTATTTTATTTTTTCACATAACCTATGTGGCCTGTGAGACCAAAGTAAGGTGCACACAAACATAATTATCAATATATTGTTTACAAAACTTGTTTACAAAAAAATTTGTTGTTACTATTGTTCTATAATATATATACCAATGTACAGTCACTGAACATATTCCTAGAAGCTCTGCAGCTTGTGGAACTCTTTGAAACATGGTGTCATACACAGTGGTGTTTTACACTCCTCACACACAAAACCAGTGTGTGTGCATTTTTGTGGACTTTTTTTTTATGTGCAAAGACAAAACACCTTGTCTAAGCAGTTTT